GTAGAGAGAGAGAGAGAGAGAGAGAGAGAGAGAGGGATGGCAGGGCATGTGAATGAGTGACACAAGGGGGCATTGAACTTGGAAGGAACTAATCCCGAGAGCAACCTAGTAGTGAGTGAACCCCATTACAGGAGGAATATGACCACCTCCATTCCCCTGCATTGCCACTGTTGCCAGCACAGAGGGCCCAAGGACAGCAACAGCGGGGTTCGTTGCCCGGTGTGCTTCGCGCCAATGAACACACCAGGGTGGAGAAGCAAACAAAGTTTATTTGAGATCTCAAAGCGGTGCAAGGAGACTGGCACGTCTCAGATCAAGCACACCATCAAAAGCAGCTTTTCTCTCTTTATACATTTCACAGCTAAGTTCCTCCCTCTTCCCCCCTCCTTTCTCTCCTCCCCCCCCCCCCATTCCCCATCCCTTCTTCTACAAAAGTCATGTTTATACATTTAAGCGGTTAAATCATTTTGGCGGCTATAAGTCTAGCTCGTTAGTAACACTTCTCTAAACCGTTATCTGGTCCTGTTTCCCTTTGATTTATTATCTCCCCTTCAGCCAGAAACATACAGGCCTCATTATTACCGCTTGGTACCGGTATGAGTGGGGTTGCAATTGATAACTGCCTGTTACACATTCCAATTTCTGCCCCTGGCTTTTGAGATCGATTAGAGTTAAACATGGAGGAACTTTGGTTCATTTAGGCCTAGTGCAGGAAGGCTTCATCGACACTCATGGTCTTCCACCCTCCCGAGTTACCTAGGGTTATGCCTAGTGACACCAACACCACTCTAGGCTCAGGGTGGGGGTTGCATGCCCTATACTCCATCACTTTATGGGGGTGGGGTGGAGGAGGGCAGAAAAAAGGTGTGGTTCCACCCACCCTACACACCAGTCAACGGCAGTAATCCAGTAGCAGATTATTTCTACTTGGAAGTCATGTGCGAGCAGGGAAGGAATTGTGATAGTATGAGTCACAGTTCCTTGCCTGGGCTTCTCTTGGGACAGCACACAGCATGGGACTGTGCCTAAAGGCACAGCCTTAGACAATACCACAAGCATATTATTGTGGATTGATTGAATGTCTTTGGACAATAAGCATGGGACAAAATGGTTAAAACTCAGGTAGGATCTAATCTCTTGGCTAAGCCTGAGGCTATGAGAAAATGCTGCGTGTTAAAAGTTTCATCTCCACCATGTTCCAAAAGCTTATATCTCTGTGCAAGACATTAATATTGTGGGCCCAGTGCTAATCTTGCACTGGCTTAAATCAGGAATAACCCTGTTTAATAGAAGGGAGTTACTCAGGTATGACTGAATAGAAATACAAGGACTAGATCAGAATTGACCTCAGAGTAATACACCTGAACTCTGATAAAGCAACTCTCCTCAAACAGCATCAAAAAATATATATATCAGACCTTCCTGACCTAAGCATACTCACTGAAGCCAGTATCTGTTCAACAATGCTGAGATTCCCAGCCTGACTTTGTGGACTTTTTGGGTCAAAGACTTTAGGGAACTTCTTTCACTAGGGGCTATTTCATGCTCTTGGTTTTGAAGCAGAATGTCCCATTTAGTTCAATAGGGCTATGCACTCAAAAATCGATGGTATAATATGGCCCTTGGATTTTGTGTTGATTTTCATAGTATTTGATTCTGCCTCTTATGAAACGCAGCCTTTTATTGCATGTTTTTTGTTTACTATATGTCATGGTTATCCGGGAGTATAGCATAAATTGGCCAAATCAGTACAACTGGAGCCCAATCCTGCACTGTTCTGGGCATTCTGGCCTTCTTCTAGGAAATGCACTCAAGCACGTGCTTAACTCATGGAACTACTCTTGCTTAAAGTTAAGGATGTACTTAAATACTCTCTCTTGAGAGAGGTCAGAATGCTTAGCACCTTGCAGGATCAAACTTCAAATAAAGGGGGGGGGGGGGAAATCACAGTGCAGTAAACTTATTTAATGTACTGAGGTCCCATGTCTGTTTATATAGCAACTTTTATAAAATACCATTAACTCTCTGCTGAGCCCCGATTATTTTAGCCAAAAGCTATAAGATTTTCAATTATAAATCCAGGGTATTTTATGGACAATAATATGATTTGCAGTTATGTAAGTTGAGAGGGCAATTAATGCTTAGGATATAGTGTAATCACCACAGGGTCAGAGAGGAATTGATTTTCTCTTTTGCACTTGCAGTGCTGTGCAACTGGTTAGGTGCATTATAGGGTTTTTTGGGCTTCCTCTGGGACATCCCATGTTGGTTAATGCCAGCGGCACAGTTCATGGACTAGTCATCTGTTCTAGTGTAGCACTGCTCTTCTTTCTTTCTTTCTTTCTTTCTTTCTTTCTTTCTTTCAATTTTTTTTTGACTAATTGTTTGTTCACCTCATTTCAGAGATTTATTTTTGAAAAAGTGAGCTTTTTGCAGAGGACTTTGCCCCTCATGTGGACCATGCCCTATTGCTTTTTTGCAAAACAAATACATCAATAATACATCATAGTGCCAAGAGGCTATGTTAGACAATTAGCCACTCAGCACATGCACTAATTGTTTTTCAAATTCTTTTTAAAGGGACTGAATAATTCCTGCGTGAGCCATGGCTAATGTAGAATCTTTTTTTTTTAAATATATAGGGAATCTTGGGAGTGGGGAATCAGCTTTAGTAAAATCTTATAACCCTCTTTCCATTGAACAGGTTGAAACAGACGACAAAGACATTCAATATCAAAAAGCCAGAGATTTGGAAAATCTTCTACCTTCAGCTATTTTCTCTACCTTGTTTTTTTCCCCTCCTCCTTATTTTCAAGGGGATAGTATTTGGAGGAAATTGTACCTCTTCTCTTTGTTTCCTTCAGCTATGTTTTAATAGAAAGGATGCTTGTGCTGACAAGTTTGTGAACCCCGCTGTGGCTGGATTGTGTAAACCTTGCACACCTCCACATTTCTCGCAAAGTCAATGGGGAGTCTCCATTGTGCGAGGATTGTGGCATGAGGACCCTGGTTTGGTAAAGTCTGCTTTCTTTTATTGTGGCTTTGAAGTGCAAATCCTTTGTACTGGAGTCATCTTTGAAATGCTTAAAGCAAGTAGTGACTTGTGCATATGGAGCAAATACTGTCTAACTGGGTGTAGAGGATAGGCTTTTAGTTGTACTGAGGGGAGGAAGAAGTTAGTTTCCTGGACCTGGGACACTGTTTGTTTGTAGAAACTGCTTGACCCTGTTTTTTTGTTTCCTTAGTTTCACTGTGTTTATCTTCCTTTTGCTTTGTCTCTTTCTTACTTGGTTGTGGGGAGAACAGTGGCTTTCTTTTCTGTTTAATTTTGGAGCAATGCTGACTCTTTCCTGATGAAACCTCTTTGTATTCTTAGACAGTGAGCCATTCCCATGGAGAAGGATTTGATGATTTGGGCCTTGACCCTGCCGTTGGATTTCTGTGGGCGTACCCTGGTGCCTGTGCAGGGCACCAGAGCTTTATTTTGTTCTGTAGCTTTCTTGTTGTTGTACATGTCAATCTTTTCACCTTGCATACATTTGTTTTCCTTATCATTGATTGGTTTTGCAGATTCTGTGTTTGCTCCAAGTTCTGCCCTAGTCATAAGCAGACTGAGCCTTTGCAGAGTCCTGCTATACATTTCATTCCCTTATAAAATCTCTCTTAAAGAAACCTGAGGAAACCAGTAAAAAATTCTCAAGGGGGGGGAGGGGGAGAGAGTGCTGCAGCAACCGTGAAAACATCTTATAACAATCTCAATAGACATGTTCATTTTCTGTTCTGCTGGATGTCATTCAAGAATACTAAAATTATTTATGGATTTAGTTTTCCTGGTTTTTTTAAATGTAAAAAGATGCTCATGAATGAGGTCCATAAGTAATTTAGGATCACCATATCCTGAATAACAGTTATGGGGGAATCATAGAATATCAAGGTTTGAAGGGATCTCAGCAGGTCACCTAGTCCAACCCCCTGCTCAAAGCAGGACTAATCCCCAGGCAGATTTTTGCTCCAGATCCCTAAGTGGCCCCCTCAAGGGTTGAACTCACAACCCTGGGTTTAGCAGGCCAATGCTCAAACCACTGAGCTATCCCTCTCCCCTTGCATACTGACGTACACATCAACATATGTAGCTGTGATAGCAATTTTGTTACAAACGGGAGTGACTCTCTTTTAGAAGATAAGGTACTTGCAGTGTCATGAAGGCTGCCCATCTAAACTCCTCTTTAGACTTCACTTGATTCCAGCAGGCATAATATTATTCTAGGGCCTGATCCTCAAAGAGAAAAGGTCCCATTGGCTTCAGAGGTCTTTGGATCCAGCCCCTAAAGCACAAGAGCTATCTTCTTCTACTGTCCTTTTTAATTAGCATACATTGAGATCACTCTGTTTAACTGCACCTTCAGAGTGAGTGCATGTCTGCCTTGGGAGACAATGAATGTACTGCAGGATCAAACCTACCATGTGCTGTCTACATTCCTTTATGATGATTGGGGGTGGTTGAACCAGACAAAACGAGATATGATTACAACAGTCCAAAGCAAACCAAACACTTTTAATGTTAAAAGTTTGGGTTACTTAAATTGCCTCTATGCTTCTGTTTCAGCAGGACCTGTATAATAATTATAATGCTTAGCTCTTATATAGCACTCTTCATCAGTAGATCTTAAAGCACTTTACACAAGGAGGTCAGTGCCATTATCCCCATTTGGAAAATGAGACTCAGAGGTTAGTGACTTGCCTGGTAGTGGCGGATGGGAATAGAACCCAGGTCTCCTGAGTCCCAGTCCAGTGCTCTGTCCAATGAGAATCATTCGTGCATTATTAACTGATCTGACCAAAATCAAGAGGGAGTAAAAACCAATGTTCCCTCTAATATTTTCCATCCATGTGCAGAATGAATTTTGTTATGTGCACCAGTATCGAGGTAATGTGTGGATGTGCACAAAACAAAACAAAAAACTAGATATAATATATATTTTTTAAAAGTTACCATAGGGATAATTACTCCAGTCAGGGCAGGTTAGGCATTTTAGAACTCACTACTCAAAGAATTAAATTTAAGATAAGAGAGCGAGAAAAATTATGAAATGTATAGACCAGTCAAAAAACTAAAATAACAGCATGTTGAAAGAATAAAATTACAGAGAATATATGTGCATTGCAGGAAGTATCAAGAAGTAACAACAACAGTTATACAAGTATGTGTTGGGAGGTGAGTGTGAAAGACTGTGTGTGTGTGTGTGTGTGTGTGAGAGAGAGAGAGAGAGAGAGAGAGAGATGCGCTGCCCCTTAAAGTAGATCAGCACTCACCAGTCTGAAGCCTGCTTGTTCAGACACAGCAGCAGCCGCCAGCAAGCTCCATCCCACTCCTGAGCCCTGTCATGTCTCTGCCCCCTGATCTGTGGAGATGGAGTGGAGGGGAACATCCTGACATCAGTGCCCCCTCTCCCTCCTCCCGCTCTGCACAGCAAGCAGTAGGCTCCCAGGAGAGCTGGCCAGAGGCTCCAAGGCAGAGGGCAGGATCAGCATTGCAGTGGTGGGAGGGGCACCTGAAGGGCGCGGCACTTGATAGACTGCGGGGCGGCCACACAGCTGCGCACCTTAGAGGGAACTTAGGTAGAAACCTTATTCAGACTTGCAGTCTGACTACTTCTTTGATATGTCATTTTGGTTCCTGACCTGAACAGAGCCTATTTTTTTTGTTTTTGTTTTTTTTGTTATGCCCAAATATTTCTGCAAATGTCATGCTTCCACTATGGCAGATCAATAAACCACAACATCTGTGCTCTTTCCTATAACTACACATTCCAGAAATGTTTAGCAGTTCTGGGCTGGATGAAAAGAGAGCAACAGTATGGAATGACTGTTCTAGTGGTAGAACTCAACCACAGCGCTATGAAACTGTAATAGTTAGTGTTTGTTTGGATTTCTAGCTCTTTGACTTAAGGAATGGTCACAGAGGCCGAGAACTAGCAGATGGGAAAATAAGACCTCTTGGGTCATGCAGTCCATCTCCTTTCCATGGGAGGGTGATTCTCTGCATTGTAATTTTTTGTTGCTAATGTTTTGTTTAGTCTAATTTTAAATGTCTCAAGTGCTGGGCCTCCCACCACTTCATTTGGGAGGTTATTACATAATGTAATAGATCTAGTTACATTATTTAGTCCTGTATTTAGACAAATGTTTCCTTTTTCTCAATTTCATCCCATTCTGCCTACATATGAATTATTATTTGTATTGCCGATTTGTATTATTTTGCTTAGGACCCCATTGTGCTGGATGTTGTTCAAGCACAGAGCAGAGGGATGGTCCCTGCCCCAGAGAACGTACAATCTAAGTACCCCCCTTATACCACCTCTCTCCCTTTTGTGTTTGCAGCCTTAATGCAATGGTGGAGTAACTAGCGCCTGCAATAACTGCTTGGTTGAAGATACTCGCTAACGAGATTTGGGTATGGCACAAATATAGCAGTGGTTTATTTAGGCAACTGACTTGTCAGGTAAGTCCTCATGTGGATCTAATTACACTAATGTTCACTGTGAAGAGGGGGATGATAGTGAGATTTTGGGCTATTGTACTAGGTCTCGCTCTCCATCCATGGGGAAGGCCATGCAACTCTTCTGTTGAATGGAGCCCTGGGATAATCGCAGTCTGACTTTCATACAATGATTGGAAGAAAGAGGGGCGGGGGGGGGAATAGAACCTTCCTGTTTCAGAGGGAGATTTTGAGCATGATCGTGTCAAGTGCTAAACTAAGAGGAAGTGCCAGAAAAAGTTTATAATAATCATAGATAAATGAGGAAGAACCTGTCAGAACACGCATGCACTTACAAACCACTTAATTCTAATCATGATCATTTGCACTCTTTAGCTACCTGGAAAGGTGTTAATTTATTTTAAAGGTCTGGAATCTTGTTTTTTCAGCTGTTTCATGCTACGACAGATTAAATTGCATTTAGTACTTTCTTGCAAATGGTATCTGCTATGTATAGAATTCTTTTATGGGGAGAGGCATCTGTTTTAAGTATCCTGTTTCATTAGCATGCGTTTGGCTTAAAGCGTGACCTTAATTATTAATATTTTAAATAGGGTCACTTTTTGCCCTTAGTTGCCTCTATCAACTCCCTTTGATGTAAACAGGAATTGTGCACAGGGTTTGAGAGCAGTATGTGGCACAGTGAGCAGAATTTTGATTGGGGGCCTTATCCTTGACTTACTCCATTCCTCTCCTCTCCTCGGTTAATTGCACCATATTCCAACTATTATGTTGCAGTATTAGAAGAAGAAAATTGTCTGCATTGACAGCATGTTATCTACACCCACCCATGGAGGAATCTCATGAAATAACACCCTTTCTAAATGCATGTGATACCTTCATCAGGTACACTTCATTTACATTATTACATGTTAAAGGGGTCTGGGTTTAAGGCTGCTAACTGCAGGCCCCAAATGGAATAAGTAAATTAAGTACATTGACTTTTATTTGTTTGGTTGTAGAGCTGAACTCACCCCTAAATCAAAGATACACGAAGAAACACCATGTTAAGATGGAGTTTTGCCATTGATTTAGATGGGGTCAGGATTTCACCTATTATATCTAGCGGTGGCTGTAGGTGAACGTTAGTGGGTTAAGAAAAATGTACTGCAGTTGTTTCGTAATGCACAACATGCACACAAAATATTATAGATTTAATGATTTGTTGAATGAATGTAAAAGCTGGTTGCATAAAAGATTTATTTTTAACTGATTAATACCATCTGTCACTAGGTTTTTACTGTGCTGCAATAAAAGTGTGTTTCAGATTCTCAGCAGTTCAGTCAAATAAAAAAGGCCCTGTTTCTTGCAGTGGCATTCCCCTTGCTCTGACATTTTCATCCCTTGGATGGGCTTTGTAGACGTTGCGTGCATGTGGTTGGACATGCATGAAATGTGAGTGAAGTGTTGCTAAAAGCCTCCTAAGGGAAGATTTTAAAATCGCTCAGGGAGAAATGTACATGTTAAAATTAGCTTGGTTATAGAGAATGGATAAATTCCAGCAGAGATGGTCTACTAAGTCTTTTTTCATGTCTAACTTCTATCTAACTTCTAATTCTCTGATCTTCGTACATTATGCAACAACATGAGTGGAAATGCATGTGGAAGTCGATGAATATTCATCACTTCCCTCCATAGTCTGGTTTCCTTCCTTAAACTTTTGGACCATGGCATAAATAAAATGTCAGTACCCTAAAGAAGTGTAGGTGCTTCTCTGTCCAAAGTATGGATCCCACCTCCCCTCCCTGTACTAGTGCAAACTTACACCCCTTCCATCTTTTGGGGAATCTAGCCCACAGTGTTTAACAAACAAATGCCTGACCTGCCAAAATAGAGCAGACCGGGGGAATAAGGCAGACAGCTATATATAAACTGAGCAATTTTATTAAGGGTCTCTCCTGACTTTGACACTTTTGTGTTCTACTCCCTGATCATCAAATGATATATGAGGCACACAAATATTAATGGGAGAATGCCCGAGTACCAAAAATAAGTTCTTACTGGCCTAGTTTTCTCTTGAATCAAAGAGGGGGATACAGAAAGAACATGCAAACTGCAACCAAACCATTGCCTTTGGCTCAGTTACTCACTATGAAATCTTATTGACTTTGCAGTACATAATTAAAAAAACAAAAACCAAAGCAACCCCCACCCCCATCTTCTCAGTGCATTCCAATAAGGCTGTATTAAGCTGCCATGTTGGTCTGTGTGGAAAACTTGAATTAGGACTGGGAATGGAGGACGTATCTACGCTGCAGGCAGAATTACCGAAGCTCCGCAAATGTGTGAAGCGAGGTTCATTGGGTAGCTCTACAGAACAAGTTGGAAGAGAGTGGGTTGGCTCCTCCCTTAACCAATCTTCAGTTTCCTCTTCCTCATTCATTTCCCTTCATTCTCCTCTTCCATTCATTGCCCTGTATTTTCTCTCCTTCTTCTGTCCCCTTTTTTCTATCTATTACTTTTCCATTCTTTGCTCCTGCCTTTGTCGCTATCCTCTCTGCTTCAAACCTTTCTCCTTTTCCTTTCTCGCCTCTTTCACTCTACAGATGAGGCTTACCCCAAACTAAAGACCTACAGAGCCCTGAACTGGAGCAAGTCTGGATCAAGATCTGAATTTGGTGATTCCTGTGCTGTCTAACATTTATTCAGATGAATAAGAACATCTTAAATAAACAAAACATTTTGTTTCATTGATTCAACGTCTGATGACTTTTTGGCTCCCTCTTGTTCCATCACCTTGTGGTGGTTGGCCAAAGCCCACCTGAGCCTGACCTACAGTCAACCCATAATAAAGCGAGTGTTCAATGGTTGAGGATATGATTCTGTTTTAATAAGTTTAAGACTGTGCTCTCATGCCCTGCCCCCCAGCATTTTAAACCCCTTCAATATTAGAGGAGGAAGGGAAAGTAAACTGAACAGTTACTCTCATCACTTCACTCCCCTCAGTATAGGCCAAGATCAGCCAGAGTAGCAAACTAAAGGATGAGGAATTTGCTAGAAGCAAATGCTCATGGCGACCAGCTCTCTCCCCCTACTCATGTCCTAGGTAAACTAAATGAGGAAGCTCCAGTCTCCCATCTTAGCTTTTGGTGAATAAATAACCAAAGCCTGCCAGGAGTCAAAAATAAGTGCCACTGCTATGAAATTTGTAGTTGGTTTCTACTGATCCTCTTGCGATTTCCCAGGTTTCCTGTTGTGTTAATAGTGCTCTAAGAAGCTGTTGTATAGTGTTGTGCTGTGCTCATAAATGGCTGAGTTCCATGGTTGGATCCTTATTTGTAGCACTTGAGTGCTTTGGGATTCTTCAGGAGGAAAGGGTCAATATAGACCCATATAATAGTTATTATTACAGTAGTCCTACACAGAGCAACCAACCGCCTCCAACAGGACAAGTCGGTGAGGTATTCAGCTCCACGTGTATTAAACATTTTGTGATTTCCCCCCCCCCGCCCCCATGCTGCTTTAAAGCATCATTTTGTTTCTCTGCATTTCTGCTCAGAGGCAGGCACAGCATGGTAGTCCTTCCTGAAGATACGTGTATGGAGGACACACAAACAACATTACTCCGTCTTCCCAGGTAAGAGCACTTTCTAACTTATCTGATCCTCCAAAGAAAGATCCAATTTAGATTGAATTGTGGCAACCCAGGCTCTTGATTTATCAATAGGCCTCTGAATAAAGATTTGATTGCCCCTCATTTTGATTGGGCCTGGAATCTGTACAGCACACGGAGTGAACTCTATTACCAGAAATGCTCTGTCTTTCTAAATACTGTGTCTGGACTAGAAGGCATTGTTTGTGGCTTTATTTGATCACCTTAGATAAAGATGGATAACTTACCCCATGCAGTCATGTAGTCCAAATCAGTTAACTCATCTGCAAGTCTTGATCCCCGGAGGCTCATATCATCTGCATGTATTACTTTCTTGGGACTAGACTCAGATTTTTTTTTAAATTGACTGTGCTGCAGAGTTTCCTGAAGCTCTCAATACATAGGGGTGAAATCCTGTCCCCACTGAAGTCAATGGCAAAACTCCCATTGACTTCCGCAAGGCCAGGATGTTACCCATAAAGTTGCACTACTTTGATTGAGTGGAGGCCACGATCCTTTACAGACTTTCTTTTTGGCTATTATATGCCTCTAGACTTGGTGAAGTCATCTCTTAGCAACAGTAGCTCCTGGGGAAAAATGAGTGAGATCAGAAAGGGGTACAAACAATGAAGGGGTGGGAATGTCCCTTTTGGGTAGTATTGATGTTCTCTGTACTTATGAATATGGAAAATTCTACAGTATTGGCAATGTTTAGGTAGATGGCTTTGCCTGAACATGACTTATTCAAATATTTGTGAAATGCTGTCTTAATTTAATGCACTATATAAATATTTTCTGATACTCTTAATTGATTCTAGTGGCTATAACTCGTATAGGAGATTCTACACTCTGCAGGTGTCAGGTAAAATTTTCAGATTCTTCTAAAGCGACTTAGGTGCCTAAGTCACTTTTGAAAGTAAGACTTGTGCCCAAGTGTCTTATGAGCTTGAAAATGTTACCCCTTGCCTTCATAGACTCAATGGAATTAGATGGAAAAGCCTGGATGGATGTCTTGTCCACCTCCCACCCCTGCAGTATGGTGCTGTTAGGATTCTGATCATTTTGCAAGCAGAGCTAAGAGGAATGCAAGCCTTAGAGTCTGCCGTATGTGGAGCTGTATATTATTATTTGTATTGCGGTAGCCATGTTGCGTTAGGTACTATGCAAACATCAACAAAAGAGCATCCCTACCCTGAAGAGTTTACAATCTAATTATAAGACAGGAGGCAAGAGGTGGATGCAAGTAGCAGATGTGGAAAGTACAAGGTAACAATCTGACAACTATGATCAGCGGGATAGGCACTGGTCACAGCACATCTACTAACATCATAACTCTCCTTCTCCTTCATCTGTCAAATGTTTTGGCAAATCTAGATGGAAGAGGGGAGGGAACAAATGAGAAGGCTTGGAAAACAGAGTGATTAATTATTAAGGTGTCCAGATCTCTTTACTAGTGTCTCCCTTAAGCCACATTTATGTGACTAGAACAGGAGTACTTGTGGCACCTTATGCTCTAATTAATTTGTTAGTCTCTAAGGTGCCACAAGTACTCCTGTTCTTTTTGCGGATACAGACTAACACGGCTGCTACTCTGAAACCTGTCATTTATGTGAATGTTTTTGATCTTAAAGGTAAGCCTCATTGGATGTGTGTTCTTCATATGAAAAGTCTCAAAGGAACACACCCAAAGAATAATGCCTTTCATGTGAAAAATTACTACTGCCGCTACCACTTCTCAGCCTGTTAATGTAAAATGGATCCGAATTTCACTACTGCCTTAAAAGAAGTTTATTTCCCCAAATATCTCCCCCTAAACATATTCAGCTAGATTTTCCAGATGGAGTAAATTAACATCACTCCATTAAAATTATGTCAGTTTACACCAGCTGCAGATTGGCTGTCTGTTCAGACTATCAAAATCTTTTAACTAATTTATCTAAGAAAATGCATGGAGATGAGGGTGAGAAAAAGGAAAGGAGAGGGGAAGAAGGTCCTGTGAAAGGAGAGAAGTGTTAGACAAATCATCATCAACCATCTCATTGACCCCAGGTAGCATCAGGTTAACAACATGCATCTCAGCAGTAGTGACATTTGTGACGTTTCACTCCATATTCTTTATGAAAATATGCTTATGATATGAATGACATAAATGAGATATACTGCATGCAAGATGGCTCATGTAAGATATCATTGGAAAAGTTATGATCTACTGAATGTGATTATCCAATTTGTATGCCGGTATCGTTTCTGTATCTGAAGTTAGGAATACTAACTATGTATCTGTATTTCAAATGTGTTACTTTGGGTATCTCCCCCAACTAGCCTGTTAGGTACAACAATGGAAAAGCCAGACAGGACTAATGGCCCATTAGCAAAGACAATGGACTGTGAAAGAGCTTAGTCTTCCTGTGGACCTTACAGACAGCCTACGAGTAATGGTTGCCACAGCCCTGAAGAGACATGGGCCTGAGTCACCTGGAACTGGACCCACCCCTTTGAATGCCAGTGTTCTTCTACTGGGAGACAAAGGGTTCCCACCATACACAAGAGCTATATAAGGCAGGGGAGTGACATCGTGGTTCTCCTTTGCATCCCCACCCAAAGAGACACTGAAAAACACCTGAAAGCAAGAACTGAACTGAGGGGAGAAGGGTTGAACCCAGGCTGAGAGAGTGTCCAGTCTGTGAGTGGAAATACCTGAAGTCTCAAGCTGCAGGCCAGTGCAGCTGCCTTTCAAGACTTTCTGTAATCTACCTGTGACAATATTTAGGGTGAGAAATTACTATTGGTAACCTATTTCTTCAGTGAAACAAGCTTAGTATGCAGATTTTGTTTTATTTGCTTAGTAATCTGCTTTGTTCTGTTTACTATCTCTTTAAACACTTAAAATTCACCTTTTGTAGTTAATAAACTTATTTCTTGTTTATAATGTAACCCCATTTGTGCAATTCATAATGCGGGGGGGAGGAGTGGAAGAGACTGTGCATACCTTCCTCCACATTGAGGGAGGAGGGGGATTTCTTAATATACCTTTGGGTCTGCACTCCAAGGGAGATGGACACCTGGGTGCTGGGGCAAGTTCCTTAAGCTGAGGCATCCCAGAGCTGATCTCAGTATCTGTGTCATTCTGCAGTTGGGTGTGCGCTGAAGGCGGCTTAATAGCCTGGCTCAGCAGGACAGGTAAAAAGGGTGCCCTAGCTGGCAGAACAGGTGATATCCCAGCTCATCAGGTGGCACCTTAAGGGGTCCAACCCGTCACAACATTCTCATCAGTGAAAGTTTGTCATCCAGGCCTGATAGATGGTGAGGATCCCTTCAAAAATGACTAAAGGGGTTTTCTAAATCTGCCTTGGAGGAACCTTTTAATGTTCCTTTTTCTCTATACATATTCCATCCTAGAATACAAAGAGTTGGATGGCTCCCAAATAGGCCACTGGAACACTTGGACAGTGGCCCAGATCTAATGGGCCAGATATTCAGCTGGTAGAAATGACTGTTGCTGCATTGGAGCATAAAGAGTTTATTCTGTTTGAATACAATGATTCTCAGTCCTGCTGGTTAAAATAATTTGGAGTTGGTCTAACTGGTCTGAGGTGAGATGAGATGATATACACTTTATGTTACACAAAACATCAGCCAATATATGTCCATTACAATGATAAATGTTTCTAAGATATAGTAGAATATATTATATGCATATTTGTAATCCCTCTTCCTTTCCTCAAAGAAGGAATTTCCTAAATGTATATTTATCTTAATTTTCTGTCAAGAAATCCCTTGGTGAGCAGTCAGAATCTTCAGTACCTAGTATTTTTGTAACTAATAAATTTAGAGTGATACTAGTAAAACTGAACAAATGGAATTCCCTTTGCTGTACAGTATTCAATGGTAGTCTAGCTCCAAAACATGAATTCAGTGTTTCCTGACATGGGGCTATGGCTTCACTAGATATACATGAGGATCATATTCACTTGAATGTTCTTTTTTCCTTCTGCTTCACTGACTTGTCTCCTTGTAATCAACATCCTGCATAAGTCAAGGTTAAATAAATACTTTAGGAATGTAGGACAAAAGAATTGCAATTATAGGTCAGACCAGTGGAATAGATAGTCTGATATCCTGTCTCGGACAGTGGTTGTTATGAGATGCTATAGAGGAAGGAGCAGGAAACCCCACCATCCGCAATTATACACTAACCTGCCCATAGAGGAAGTTTTTTTCCTAACCATGTCAGTTAATAATGGTTGGCTTGATGCCTGAATCATGAGGGTTTGTATCACTTCTAATTATTTTAATCCTATCTATTGCAATTGTTGTAATTTATGTTATCCAAAGGGTTTAAGAGTTATGTAGCCCTCATGCTGAGTTTTACCACATGTGCACTTTCTGGGAAAGTGTTTTTTTTATTTTCTTTGTTTATAGCAATTTCTCTACCTTTTTGGTGTTGTCTTCAAAATCTTCAATCCCACATTGCATATAATAGGAGCTTTATAGCCAATGATGCACTACTAGTATCTCAAGAAGGGGCTCCCCTAAAATGTCATCTTTAGACCTATAAATTTATGACTATCCCCAGTACTGAAAATGCACTGGGTCATCTTGCAAAGAGAAGGGTTGAGGGACCGTGGAACCTATTCATTTGTGTTCTCATTTAAACAATAAACCATCACCAAGGAAGGAGGAGGTAACACAAACCTGCTAAACTTCTACTAGGGGCACTTTATAGGAAATGTGTATAATTTATTACTAAAAATAACTGGGTCTATTGGTAGAATAGCCTTATGTGCGATTTGAAGTAAATGTGTATCTTGTATGTGAGGGAGACCTGTGGCAGAGAAATCCAGGGATATCTTTCTCACTGAAAATATCTGATGTATTCAAAAGGCAACAAATTTGCTCTACAGAAGTTCTTTTATAAGCGACGGAAGAAGCCATCCTAGGAATGATGTAGTAGTAGTCAGCAAGGGCGTGACCATCATCAGAGACAGGGAAATCATCCCAACCCTCCCTTTAGATTCCTAGTGAAATTTTATCATGGGGGTTCCACCAGAACTCCCACCAAT